TTATTATTACTTTTTATTATTATTACTATTATTATTACTATTATCATTACCATTTGTTCGAAAGTTTTCGGACATTTGCGTTCTTCCAGAAAAAAATGGTTGTCTTAGACAGGCGGACATCTTGGGCAGTGTTTTTATAATATATTTTTAAAAAGCAAGAGGGGCAAGTGGAATAAGTAATTGGTTATCTACAGGTGATTGTCTTGGACAGGTGGTTGTCTTAGTGATTGTTTTGGACAGGTGATTGTCTTGGACAGTGATTGTCTTAGTGATTGTCTTGGACAGGGGTTGTCTTGGACAGGTGGTCGATAGAGCAGGTTAGTCTTTTACGTCTCTTCTGCTCAAGGATGACAAAAGTTGTTTAAATTATTTACCCCTACAGGCTTCGGGACAAGTTTTTCGCAATGCTGGACAGTGGTCAAACGTGCTTCGATGACAGGGAGTCTAAGGAGACCTTCCGGAGTGTTTTGATGACCACCTGTGATATTGCTGCCATAACCAAACCCTGGGAGATTCAGAGGAAGGTGAGCCCTGTGGTTTAAGAAAAAAGTGGGAAATATTGTTTATTATTATATTAGATTTAACGTTCTTTACAACACTGTCTACATGTATTTACAATCGTCTTGCTGTCTACTGTGAAGTGAAGAAAACTGAAATGGTATGGCCAACTAACAATATATTGCGGCCTGTACAAAACCATTCTCCTGGGAGCTGTGCAGGGGATGAGAAGGAGAGGAAGGCACAGGAAGAGGTGGACCGACAACATGGCGGAGTGGACAGGGAAATCCTTCGCCCAAACTCAGGTGCTCGCAAATAAAAAAAATTAAAAAAGTGAAAAGTGGAGACACTTGACGAGGTTCTATGTCATACAGCATCCCTACGGTCTTCGTGGATTATGGGATTAGTGACCAGTGACAACATTGTAATATTATTTACGAGGTGGGCCAGTTTTGAAGTTCTAAATATAATAGAAATAATATTAAGTATCTCAGCTTCAGAGATGGAATCAGTAAGGGATTTAGGTACATATTATGTGTGTTTTTGTTTGCTTTTTTTTGAGAGAGTGAAGGAGAGACAGAGAGAGAGAGAGAGAGAGAGAGAGAGAGAGAGAAAGAGAAAGAGATTAAGAGAGAGATAGATAAAGAGAGGGGGCGGGGCTAAGAGGAAAGAGAGATAAAAGGAAGAACGAGAAAAAGAAAGAGAGAACAAAGAAGGAGGCAAAGGGAACAGCGTGGGGGGAGGGGGAACAGTTATTCTACAAAAATGTTTATATGTATATATACATAAAGTAAAAAAATAAAATGTATATATATATATATAATTTCTAACGCTAACATTTCCTCCTCTGGCTATCAGACCCTGTGCCGATGGATACTGACAGTGAGGAAGAATTACAGGAACATAGCCTACCACAACTGGCGACACGCTTTCAACGTGTGTCAAGTCATGTTCGCCATCCTGCAGGTAGGCTTGTTTGTTTATTTGTTTGTGCGTTTGTTTGTACGTTTGTTTGTTTGTTTATGCGTTTGTTTGTTTGTTTGCTTGTTTGTTTGTTTGTTTGTTCGTCTTCTTAGACACCATTGTAAACAAGTGAGGCTTCCGTTCACAAACAGTGCTTGAAAATGTCTTGACGATCGATTCTTTTGTGTCCGTTCATCGAACGGGTACCCAGCTTGTATACAGTACTAGAGCTCGCAGCAGTGATGTTACACGTTAGTTTGTTCGTTAGTTACTTAGTTTGTTTTGTGTGGGGTTATTTTGGAGTAAAAAGGAGCATATCGACACAATAAAGGTCATTTGGTGTAGTGAAAAAGTACGACAGACAGACAGACAGTAACAACAACGGTGACAGCAACGAAGTAGGATCTATCAGTGGCGTCCTCCAACCACCTGAATGCAGGTAAGTAAGATGGTAGAGAGTAAGATGATAAAGAATAAGATGATAGAGAGTAAGTAAGATGGCAGAGAGTAAGCAAGATGATATAGAGTAAGATGATAGAGAGTAAGTAAGATGGTAGAGAGTAAGATGGTAGAGAGTAAGATGGTAGAGAGTAGGTAAGATGGTAGAGAGTAAGTAAGATGGTAGAGAGTAAGATGCTAGAGAGTAAGATGGTAGAGAGTAAGTAAGATGGTACAGAGTAAGATGGTAGAGAGTAAGATGGTAGAGAGTAAGTAAGATGGTAGAGAGTAAGATGCTAGAGAGTAAGATGGTAGAGAGTAAGTAAGATGGTAGAGAGTAAGATGCTAGAGAGTAAGATGTTAGAGAGTAAGTAAGATGGTAGAGAGTAAGATGGTAGAGAGTAGGTAAGATAGTATAGAGTAAGTAAGATGATAGAGAGTAAGATGGTAGAGAGTAAGTAAGATGAAAGAGAACAAGTAAGATGGTAGAGAGTTTGTTTGTTTGTTTAGTATAGGGTTTTACGGCGCTCGCAACTGCATAAGGTCATATGAGCGCGCGGGACACACCTAATAC